ATGCTCGGTTCCAGGACTTCACCAGAGTTTCTCCCATCCTATGGAACTCCCTACCCCAATCTGTCCTACTGTTTCCTAATCTATCCACCTTTAGATGATCCCTGAAAACTCTTCTATTTAAAGAAGCCTATCCTGCTTCTAACTAGTAAACTGCGTTTTACTTTCTCATCAGCTCATCCCCCACAACTATTACTTTTTGCATTACTCAACCCTTCCTCTTAGATTGTAAGCTCTAACAAGCAGGGCCCTCTGTTTCCTCTTGTACCAAATTGTATTGAAACTATAATGTGTACCTTCATTTTGTAAAGCATTGTGCAAACTGTTGGCGCTATGTAAATAATCTCAATTGCATGGTGCTCATGCTAATCACAATAACAATTATATAAGAATAGTATACAGCTTTGTTAATAGCTTTTTTTCTATCTCATAGACATTTGATTATTCAAATTGGACAGCACAACGGATATAGCTCAGAGTAACAGTCATCTGTTTTTGCAGTTACCAGTCATTTTCTTATTCTTTGTGATTGAAAGAAAAGCCCCAAACCATACTGACAGCACACACTGTATGAATGGAAAATAGCACAATTCAACATAAAATGTTTTTAAAGTTCAAAAATACAGAAAACAAGCAAACAATCACAATGATTGCCAGATTATACTGTTTAACTTTTACAATTTTTTCTTGATCAAGATTCTATTGGGGAAAAAAAACATAATACCAACACTCCTTACTGTATCTGTAAAGTGTTGAATAAAAGAAATTGAAATGTCTGAGAATAATAAGCTGGTAATGCCAAAGCAGGTACTGTATATTTGTGTGCGGCTCTTGTAATAAAATATTATGACATACAATTTGTGTCCATCCAGAAATAGCTTTTTTTAAAGTTAACAATAAAAAAACACTACTAACTTTAAGATTCTTTCCCCCCTTTTGCTATATTTTCTTCCTTATTCGTTCTTTGCTATCAGCCCTTATCTGTTCTATAGCTCTTTTTCATCACTTATCTCTCATTATATTTCTTTCCACCTTTTTATATTATGTGACCCTGCTCTGGTTCAGTCATTCTTTTATAGCCAGGACATCACCTACATGTCAGGATTCTATATTGTTCTTTTTTCTTTAGTTAATTAATGTATTTTTTGGTAATTTGTCCTGGATTCACCATTTATTTCTTCACACTGGGTTTTCAGTACAATCACAGCCTCCATAAGTGTACCATACTTATTTTTGAAAGAACAAATGCATTGTCTTGTTATAAAAGTTTAGTTGTTTCAGTATTTCCATCTTTATTATTGAGACCCAGTGTCCTCTACTATCATACTGCAGTGATGCCAACTTAGAGAACCAATCAAAACTGTGCTTATGCACAAATCTAAACATTATTACAGTTTTACTGCTAGGTTTCAAAATGACCCAGAGCACGTTTATTTTCCTCAATGCTTGTCTCTCAGTAGCTTAGTGGTTAGCCCACTTGACTTTCAGCACTACAATCCCTACTAAACCAGGATTCTGCATGGTTGCTTGGGTTTCCTCTCACACTCCCAAAAACATGTTGGTAGATGATTTTTTTTCAATTACCCTAGAATATGTATGCAAGAAAGAGCTTTTAGATTGTAAGCTCCTTGAGTACAGGGAATAAAGTGAATAAACAATATAAATAGAACCGCACATAAATTGTCAGTGGCAGCTTGCATTCAGCACAGGAGCTAAAATAATGAGCTCAAGTGCTTCTGATGGTTCTAGAGATCACTCTGTAGGAATATGGTGTAGAATTAAGCATAGTCTATGCTTTTGAATGATTGCAGCAAGCAAAAGATCACTATTACAAGTGAACTGCTGCTTTACAGCTGCATGGATGTGACTAGATCTGGACTCCACAGACCAGATCCAGACCTCCAATGAGGTTAAGAAAAGAAAACATTTTTTAATGGCATCCCGGTCTTAGTCGGTAGGGTTCAATATGGAGTTGGCCCACCCTTTACAGCTATAACAGCTTCAACTCTTCTGGGAAGGCTGTCTGCAAGGTTTAGGAGTGTTTCTATGGGAATGTTTGACCATTCTTCCATAAGCACATTTGTGAGGTCAAGCACTGATGTTGGATATGAAGGCCTGGTTCGCAGTCTCCGCTCTAATTCATCCCAAATGTGTTCTATCAGGTTGAGGTCAGGACAAGGTTATGGACCTTGCTTTGTGCACTGTTGCACAGTCATGTTGAAACAGGAAGGGGCCATCCTCAAACTGTTCCCTCAAACTTGGGAGCATGAAATTGTCCAAAATGTCTTTGTATGTTGACGCCTTATAGCCCAACCACTGAAAAACAACCCCACACCATTATCCCCCTCCACCAAACTTTACACTTGGCCCAATGCAGTTAGGCAAGTACCGTTCTCCTGGCTACCGCCAAACCCAGACAGGTTCATCAGACTGCCAGACAGAGAAGCTTGATTCATCACTACAGAGAACATGTTTCCACAGCTCTTGAATCCAGGGGTGGCATGCTTTACACCACTGCATCCGATGTTTTGCATTGCATTTGGTGATGTAAGGCTTGGATGCAGCTACTCGGAAATGGAAACCCATTCCATGAAGCCCTCTATGCACTGAAGTTTGGAGGTCTTTAGCTATTGACTCTGCAGACAGTTGGCAACTTCTGAGCACTATGCGCTCCAGCATGCACTGACCCCACTCTGTCATTTTATGTGGCCATTTTATGAGTTGCTGTTGTTCGTAGTTGCTTACACTTTGTTATAATAGCACTAACAGTTGCCATTGGAATATTTAGTAGCAAGGAAATTTCACAGATGGACTTTTTGAACAGGTGGCAACCTATCAGAGGACCACGCTTGAATTCACTGAGCTCCCGCTCGAAAGCAGAAGTGATGCAAAATGTTTTTGCTTCCGCTGTGTGATTGGACACCTAGCTAACAGGTGGGAACCCTCACTTTCGTCATTCACTGAATGCACTGCTAGGATTACAGAGTCATGTCAGAGCTTCAAAGAGGGCAAAATCTTGGTGCCGGTGTGGCTGGTGCCTCTGTGACTGAAGCTGCCAATTTATTTGTCGTGAGGTTCAGTATCAACGGTTATGACATATACAGTTTCCAGAAAATTTCATCTGATAAGCTTGATCTACATGACCGAAAGAGACAAAAATACATTGTGCAGGATTGTGACCTAGAATAGGAAAGTAACTGCTGCAAAAGTGACTTTTGTTTCCTCCCAAATAATGATCTGGCTGACATTTTTGTTCACTGCACAATCATGAGTAATTTAATGATATTCAAATTTTTTAACAATCACAAGTGTGTGAAAAAGTTCCTGTGATGCTAATTTCTGCTGCTCTTGTCAACCCTTCATCTTATATTAATATTGTGGCTGCAAACTATTCCCCCTCCCCCACGCATTAATTGCAATATAGCATTGAGGGGGGAATAAAGCTCTTCTAAAGTAAAATGAATTTATTCAGCTTGAACTTTACCATTCTGCTACATTACATAAAAGTTGCAATATCATTTTAAGTAAAAATATGACGGTGCTGAAATTATGTTAACATGCATATCCCCCCTCCAGAAAAAAAAAAAAAAAACGAACTAAAATATATCTGTAACAAAATTAAAAAATAATGTAACTATGTTAGTATAGACTGCAAACACTAAAAGGCATAATGTGAAGAACCAAGACATAACCAACTTGAAAGCATCTCTGGGACCTAGAGCTCAACCCAAATTCTAGCGGTTCACAGTTCAAGGAAATGGTGAAATATTGCGATTGTTCGCTATCATAGCAACTATTACCAATCGTGCACTTTCTGGTTTTTCAACTGTGGTCACCTTGCTTGAAAGAAACAAAAATGTAGGTTTTCCAATGTACCAGCCCCTCCCTATGGAAGTCAATGTTCCAAAGAGCCTTGGAGTAGTTAAGAAACCTCACAGAAAGCAGGGAAAATAAATTGTACATGCTGGTGCTCAGTGCTCATAGCATTGCAAAAAATAATTCTGTATGTTTACATACAGGCACAGACAAACAGTATGTTTTGTACAGTTGTTTAGAAAAATAGGAAGATATTTTAGAGTTTGAATGGGACAATTGGTGGTGGTGTTGATACCTGACAAAATGTATCTCTATACAGATAAACTCCCAGAGTACATTTTGCAGTGTTACAGCAGATCAGGGAGAGATTGTTTTGGAGTGTTATCAGGGACATTACATACTGGTGTTCATTGTTGAAAACATCCATATTAATATTGAGAGTATTTTTCCCAGGAAGATATACCTTTTTGTGTACGTCGTAGCAACAACTTCAGTTGCTTATTTGCGGTCATACACCCCTTGTTTTTTTTTTTTTCATTTTTTTTTACTTTCTTTTAATTAGATTTTAAAAAAAGTGTAAACAAAAAAAAGGGGGTAGTGTTTAACTACTTGACCTCCAAAGGATTTACCCCCCTTCCTGACCAGGCCATTATTTACAATACGGTGCTTTGTTACTTTAAATGACAACTGCACGATCATTCAATGCTGTACATAAATTTAATCTATGTTTTTTTCCCACAAATAGGGCTTTCTTTTGGAGGTATTTGATCACCACTGTGTTTTTTATTTTTTGCCCTATAAACAAAAAAAGTCCAATAATTTAAAAAAACAAAAACTATATTTTTGACTTTTTGCTATAAAATATATCCAATAAAACATTTTAAAAAATCTATTTTTTTTCATAAATTTAGGCCAATATTTATTCTGCTACATGTCTTTGCTAAAAAAAAATCCCAATACATGTAAATGAATTGGTTTACACAAAAATTACAGCATCTACAAATATCAGTATATATAATGGAACTTTCATTTATTTATTTTAAAACTCATAATGGCAGCGACCAGCAACTTATAGTGAGAGTGCGTGACTGAGATGGGTATTTTGACACTGGGTGGGAATTGACTAACTGCCACTGACATCCCCAGTGATACTAATACAGTGATCAGTGCAAATAAAAGGCACTGACACTGTACTAATGACACTGGCAGGAAGGGGTTAACATCTGGGGCGATCACGGGGTTAACTGTGTGCTGTGTGTGCTTTACTGTGTGCTGTGTTTTACTACTGAGGCATGCTGATTTGTATCTCACTGCTGTTAGCTTTCCCCGACGATCGCTGAGTGCCGGCTGGGACCCAGTGATTGACATCCCTAGCCTCCAATAGTGGCATGGGTAGGGCAGCACGTGTACCAGTAAATCTGGAAATGCATATTACATATATGTATGTGGTTTTGCGCAGCCCTAGTAAAGTGTTTAAAGACCGTGCTCATGCTCAGCACAATATTTGTCCATTCTGTTTCTGTATTTGTCTCTCTTATCTGAAAATGATATCTCAGCTTTATTATTTGCTTCACCTGAATACATGTTCCAGTTCTCAGGGCTTAGCTTTTCATTCTTACGTTGCTATCAGTAACCCATTAGGATTATGCCCAAAAGCTGCTAGTTCAAATGATCAAATATAAAATCGAATTGGTTGCTATGAGTTGATATAAGATGTTGCACTTAACACATCCTCATTGATCTTTCTACTACCTGACATAAATTAAATAGTGGGTGCCATAAAGTATATCTCAAAACTGCTATGTTTTTTTAACATTACCATATGATTATGATTGTGTACTACCTATTATTATTTCTTTACATTATTTAATATGTAGACTTGTTTTATAGATAGCAAGAGAATATATTGTATGGTGGATAGTATAATAGCAATAGTGATATAATAGAACATATTTGTGCTTACCCATGTTTGCTTTCATCACATGGGATTTCAATAATAAGCAATATTCCAAAGCATAATTATTAATGGTAGTGATTAACTGAATGCCTTTGAGACACTTATTTACAATAAGTGCCTTCGCAAAGAAAACATGATCCAGATTTACAAATAAATTAATCAAATTAAAAATTGTCATTTTGAGCAACTTATTAATCTTTTTATTTTACTTAAAAAAACAGCTACCTTAAACATGCCTTAAATTTTTGTAAAGAAAATTCTCTTTACAAACATGTGATTTAAGTTTAATGCAAACAATTTTTTCTTAAATCAGTATCTCTTAAAATGTCTATTTTTTCATCTTACAGTATTCAAATAATCATACTCAGCTTTCTTATATATGTAAAAAAATGTTTCAATATTTTCTGGCACTGATGCATGTGTTTTTTTCAACATCTGATTTTTTTCAGTTATGAAAATTGGTCTTCTCAATAGAGAAATTCAGTTCCTCTAATCGTTCCTCAAAGCTGAGCTCCCCCATGCCTCATATTAGTTTGGGTGACCTTCTCTGCACTCTCTCTAGTTCCCTTATATCCTTTTTGTTAACTGGTGCCCAAAACTGAACAGCATATTCTAGATGAGGTCTTACTAATGATTTGTACAGTGGTAAACTGATATCTCTCTCTGTAGTCTATACCTCACTTAATATAATAAAGGATTTTGCTCACTTTGGAAACTGCAGCTTGGCATTGCATGCCATTATTAAGTCTATGATCTACCAGAACACCCAGATCCTTCTCCACCATTGATTCCTCTAGCTGTTTTGCTTCGCATTTATCAACATTAACCTCCTTTTCCACATAGTTGCTCAATTAAGCAGTGAATTGAGATACTTGTAATTTAGAGACCTCCTCTCAGGAAGTTATTCCCCTGCATAGCTTGGTGTCATCTGAAAGACTGAAATGGTACTTTTAATCCCAGACCCTATATCACTTATAAACATGTTAAAAAGTGAGGATCCCAACTCTGAACCTTAGAGTATATCACTAATAACCCTAGACCATTCAGAGTATGAATCATTAACCGCTACTCTCTGAATATGGTCTCTTAACCAGTTTTCTATCCATTTACAAACTGATTTTTCTAAGCCTGTAGACTTTACCTCACATACTAGCCATGTGTGGGGAACTGTCCTAAACGCTTTTGCAAAATTCAAGTATACTACATTCACAGCCACTCCTTTGTCTAAGGTTTTGCTTAGCTCCTCATAAAAGAGATCAGATTTGTTTGACAACTTCTGTCTCATGAATCCATGCTGCCTATTGCTTTAAATATTTTATTCCTAGCAAGAACTCATCTGTGTGGTCTTTTACTAAGCTTGCAAGTATCTTCCTGATTATTGAAGTTAAACTAACAGGTCTGTAGTTACTTGGTAAAGACTTTGATCCCTTTTTCAAATATAGGCACCACATTGGCCTTAAGCCAGTGCAATGGTACTAAGCTAGTCATTAAAGAGTTCCTAAAAATTTGAAACAATGGCTTTGAAATGACAGATCTCAGTTCTTTTAGGACCCAAGGGTGTGTGCCATCTGGTCCAGATGCTGTATTCACCTTTATTCTGTCTAAATATTTCTGTGCCATATCAAGTTTGAGCCATAGTGGTTCATTTGGGACTATGTCAATATCGTCCCTATTATGGACTTGAGCTCCCACATACCCCTTTGTATACACGGAGCTTGAAAAGGTATTCAATAAATTTGCTTTCTCTTTGTCCCCAGTCACCCACTCAAGATTATTTTGTAATGGACCTACATGCTCAGACCTGACCTTTTTACTTTTAATATATTTTAAGAATTTGTGGGGGGGGGGGGGGGGTTGTCCTACTTTCTTATGCAATCTGTTGTTTGCTGTGAATTTTGTGGCCTATGTTTTCTTTTTACATATTCTGTTATATTCTTTGTTATATTCTTTGTAATGTTTAGTGCTTTTGCTGCCAAGTCCATACAGTAGACAAATGGAACATGAAAGTGGCCTTATAGAGCCCAGAGTACTAGACTTGCTTCAGCTGAGCTCTCTAACCGCTCAGTGAGCTAGGCAGGCTCATCACACAACACAAAAAGGAAAACAATTGTGTATTGCTTGAACCTCGGACAAATATCCATCCCATCCTGGACACGAGTGTTTTTTTTTCCCGGCTACCTGTCACAATATATATATATATATATATATATATATATAAATATATATAATATATCATATATATTGTGAGAAATCATCTCAGTAGCGAGTTGCACTTGACCCCCTGGGTGAGTCACAGCATGATGAAAAAGGTACAGTAAGACTGCAGGATCCTAGTGAACCACAATTGTGGTTTATGACAAGGTCTGTGATCACAAAGTGCAGGTATCAAAACAGCAAAATAAAACACAAACAGAAAATAAACCCTTGCCACATTGGGTGTCTTACTGCAAACATAGGAACCTAACTACTTGTCCTGAAACAACTTACTGCTGCCCAGACACTTGGCTTTCACACAGAATACAGTATGTCAGAGTCCATAGTAGGGTTGCCACCTTATCCCTCCTTTAAACCTGAACACATATTAATTACACAGACTAATTTAAGTGTCCATTTAATATACAGCTGTAAATGACTGCTGCTCAGTTCTCTGACATTCTCAGAGGAGACAGCTCTCCTTTGAATGCCTGTTTATAAAGCGGTGTAGATCACTTCTCCTAAAAAGGAGAAAAGCGATCTACAGACGCTTTGAAATCTAGGAAACGGCTCCTGTTACTGTAATCTCGCAAGATTACTATAAGAGATCAGTCAAACACATAGTTTACTAAGAAGCGGTAAATTACCCCTGCTTCATTGGCTGCTCTCTCAGAGGAAATCGCTCAGTACCTTACTACATACATACACACACACACACACACACACATACATACACCGTCTCTCTCTCTCACACGCACATACACAGTGTCTCTCTCTCACACGCACATACACAGTCTCTCTGTCTCACACGCACATACGCAGTCTCTCTCTCACACGCACATACGCAGTCTCTCTCTCGCACACGCACATACACAGTCTCTCTCTCACACGCACATACACAGTCTCTCTCTCACACGCACATACGCAGTCTCTCTCTCTCACACGCACCTACGCAGTCTCTCTCTCTCTCACGCACATACACAGTTTCTCTCTCTCACACTCACATACAGTCTCTCTCACACGCACATACACAGTCTCTCTCTCTCACACGCACATACACAGTCTCTCTCTCTCTCATGCACATACACAGTCTCATTCTCTCATACACACACACATACGCAGTCTCTCTTTCTCATACACACACACACATACGCAGGCTCTCTCTCTCATACACACACACACATACGCAGGCTCTCTCTCTCATACACACACACACATACGCAGGCTCTCTCTCTCATACACACACACACATACGCAGTCTCTCTCTCTCACACACACGTACACAGTCTCTCTCTCTCATACACACACACACACACACACGCAGTCTCTCTCTCTCACACACACATACACAGTCTCTCTCTCACATACTCTCTCGCTCTCTCTCTCACACACACACACACACACACACACACATACACATTCTCTCTCACACACATACTCTCTCTCTCTCACACACACATACACAGTCTCTCTCACACACTCTCTCTCTCTCTCTCTCTCTCTCTCTCTCTCTCTCTCTCATACTCTCTCTCACACACACACAACATACACATTCTCTCTCACACACATACTCTCTCTCACTCTCACACACATACACAGTCTCTCTCTCTCTCTCTCTCTCTCTCTCTCACATCTCTCTCTCTCTCTCTCTCTCTCTCTCTCTCTCTCTCTCTCTCTCACATACTCTCTCTCACACACACACACACACACACACACACACACACACACACACATACACATTCTCTCTCTCACACACATATCTCTCTCTCTCTCACACACATACACAGTCTCTCTCTCTCTCTCTCTCTCTCTCTCTCTCTCTCTCTCTCTCACATACTCTCTCTCACACACATACTCTCTCTCTCTCTCTCTCTCTCTCTCTCACACACACACATACACAGTCTCTCTCTCTCTCTCTCTCTCTCTCTCTCTCTCTCTCTCAACAGGGGTTGTGAAAGGCAGGGGGGCTTTTCCACTGTCTTGGGGGCTCTGATTGAGAAAGAAGGGGGTGGAGAATCTGGGAGGGAGAATTTTCACACAGATCGCCAATGAAGGGTTGACATTGCTCCTTCATAAACTGGCCCCTTCTGTCAATGACATATTCTCTGTGTGCAGAGAT